TGAAAAAGAACAACAGTAAAAAATGTGTGGATTTTTTATGCATTGATCAATGGCAAACAAACTAGTCTGGAAGGTTCAACTTTGCAATTAATTATCACAAATCAAAAGATAAAAAATTAAGAACAGTAGTCATTTGACATAGTAAGCATCCTTAGAAGCTAAAAGCTGAAGCTAATGGAAGAATTGTAAAGATGGTTCTGATGAGTCTGAATTAGACCATCACCGTTCCCGGTAGAAACAAACTGATATATCGATACTTACATTAGATATGATTGATAGTAACCCAAGCAAGTTTGTATTGTTGTCAAATCATCTGTCATCATTTCAGTCAGTGAAGATCGTGTCAAAATGGATTATTCATTTGAAGAATATACAGATATGCATTTCGTTTATAGTGAAATTGGGGGAAATGCCAGAGCCGCTGCTGAATTATATCAAAATAAATATCCAAACAGACGTCATCCACATTTCATTGCTGTGCATCGACTATTGAAGGAAACTGGGTCCTTTATATTCAGTAAACACCATTGCGGTACGAATAGAACAAGAGATAATGTTACTGAAGAACAAATTCTTGAACAATTAGCAGCATATCCTTCTACGAGCACTCGGGTTGTTTCGTATAGTTTACAAGTGTCACAATCAATAGTTAGTTGGGTAGCACGTGAACAACTATTGTAAGTATTTCGCCTGCAGAAGGTGATGGTCCTAGATGCTGGTGATTATGGCCCTCGTGTATTATTTTGTGAATGGTTTTTGAGGAAGTACGAAGAAGCACAACTTTCCCAGATATGTTTCATTCACGGATGAGGCAAGTTTCACAAGAGAAGGGTATTTCAATAGTAGTTCATTTATGGGATGAACAAAATCCGCATGGAATGTTTCGAAAAGGCTACTAACAGAAGTTTTCAGTCAATATTTGGGTAGGAATTATCGAAAATTATATCGTTGAACCATATCTTCTTTCTCCCCGTTTGAATGGACAGAACTACTCAGTTTTTTTTTGAACTTGTTTTACCTGAGCTACTTGAAGAAGTAAGTACCTCTATTGGCTCGACAAAGGATGTGGTTTCAATATGACGGAGCACCAGCCCATTTTCAACGAATTGTTCGTCAATTTATCGATGAAACATTCCATGATCGGTGGATAAGGAGACGTGGTCTCATACACTGGTCTGTACGTTGTCCGGATTCAACGTCAGTAGACTTTTTCTGTGGGGATACCTTAAATCCCTGGTGTATTCGATACCTGTAGAATTTGTTTAATATTTAACGGCAAGAATTTTAGCAGCATGTACGTTAATAGTTAATACATGATACACCAGGAATATTCCAAAGCGTGCGACAGTCAATGCTACGGAGTTTATAGTTGCGTATCGAACAAAATGGTGGTCCATTTGAACATTTACTTTAAGCCTCTTTTGTTGCTATGTAGTGAACCCTATAAACCGTTTCTATCATTTGAGTAGATATTAATACATAATAATTGTTTTTCTTCATCAAAAACATGATGATTGGAAAATATATGTCCGTATAGGACGAAACTGCAGTAACGTGAGTTGCAAATAAAAGTGGTAAAAAACAGAAATTTTCATTTCTCTTTTCATTATGATTTCCATCAATTTATGGAAAATATTTTCTAGATAATTCAGTATGAAATGATTTTGATAATGATACTCCAACATAAAATTTAACAAATTAAAGGTACTTATTTTCAGTTTTTCGCAAATTTTATTTTAGGCTTCAACTCTCATCTAATAGGAGTATTAAAATTTGAGGCTGGGTTTGTCTCTTCTCAGAAAACTCTGTATTTCGCAAATATCTCAGAAACCTTCACTTTAAGACAAATGTAATATTATGATTTTTATGTTGAGTATCGATGAGCCTAACTGATGTCAAATGCCTATTTGTCAATTCAGTTGTCCAAAGAAAATACGAGAGAAAATATGACCACATACCATCCTAACTACGCCTCTGGTTTACGAAAATTTAAAATTATAACTTCAAATTATCACGTTGATAAACATTGATTAGTGCACCAAGTTTGAAATTTTTTCTCCAGGAGTTTTAGAGAAAAAAAATCAAAATATTTACGTACATACTTACGTACGGACATTGTACTCACATATTTATGTACATACCTAAGTATGTACATACTTACATACAAAAAATGCACTAAATGAGCAACCTTTCATAGGCATAAGCGACCTTTCATGGGAGGTGTTCCACAGAGAGTCAACTTGATTCCACCGAGTGTTTCAATAATTCTGCAGATGAAACCGCCCATCTGAGGCAAGTTTATATGCAATCAGATGGTGTGTTTCTAATTATCTATGCTATCATGTCACTACTTTTCATAAAAAAAATCTGACCATTACCAATATTTTATTTCTTTGATCCATATCTGTGGCTTATAAAAAATATAATTCGTTAGGATTTCAGGGATCTTAAGATTACAATAACCAAAGAAAAGAAAAATCTAAATGTACTCCGTTACATTTCCAACACAAAAATTATTGCTCCCTTCATGAAAGGACAAGCTACACAATCACATTGTTTACAGCTGCCGGACTGAGTCATGGCCGGTGGGAGAAATCGTACATACATACTTATTATCTGTAAGAGACGTTACAGAAAATAGTTTACTCAGTGTACTAGATCAAAATTATTTTTGATATATTTTTTCTGATCAAGGTATATAGATATACATTTATGTATGTAAAAAATTAATTATATTTGAATTTGTGTGAAATGTGTCCAAAAAAAGATTATTTTCAATTATATTGCCTTGCATTGTCATGTTTTCGAACAATACAGTATATCTATTTAATTCTGCCAAGGGAGAGAATTTTGATTTTGTTTTGCAATATTTAAGGAGAATGTGCCCTAACACAAGGACCTACAGCCACACACTTGAAAGTTTGTCGGATTAGATTAGACCCGTCCCCTGTCATGGATCATCAAGTTCCTGTCTTCATAAAAGATTTACCAGAGCAGCAGTGGGACCTCACCACACAGCAAGTAACTCCCTACATAGATGGTTTCAATCATGTTGTTCGAATAGCTGTCCTTTCTGATGTCGAAAATAATTTGGTGAAAGCATGTGTCCAAAATTTGGTTTACTATGAAGTAGTGGCTTTAGTTCCGTTATTTCAGTACGGAAATGTCTATTGCGCTACTCCAAAATTGAAAGTTCTGGCCCAAGACCCGGAACTGCAGGTAAGAATGTCAATGCAATTATGAAATTCATTTTGTTGCATCTATAGGTTTTTTTATCACAGTCTTGAATATAGAAACCCAAAATATGACTTATTGAATTACTTTGAAATGAATTTCTGGAGAGAGAGGCTAGATAGACTGCATATAGACTTGTGCACATTGCCAATTGCACAAATCAATTTAATGCAGAGTGCAACAGGTTGTTGGTTGACACTGGAAGTCACAGCATTCTGGAAATGACCTCTGATTTCATGCCGCCGTCAACTGTTCCTGGATCCTCCAGGAAAAGGAAATATTAAGAGCAGATAGTTGTTGGTTCACAGATGGATCAAAAACACCTTCTGGTTCTGGTACAGGTGATTTCAGTCTCAGACCCAGTATAGAGATATCAACCTGCCTAAGAACCTATGGGACAAGCGGAAATTTATGCTATCAAATTGTGTGTGGAGAGATTGGAAGAATCCAACCTCATACACAAGTCAATAAAAATATTCTCGGACAGTCAAGCGGCTTTGGAAGCTCTTGGCTCCCACCGAGCAACGTCTAAATTGGTAGCAAATTGCCAAAAACGACTCTCCTCGATAGGAAGACTTACCATATTGTCTCTGGTCTGGATTCCTGGCCATACTGGCCTGGAAGGCAATGAGGCTGCTGACTGCCTTGCAAAGGAGGGTGCTGCAAGCAGCTTCGTTGGACCAGAACCTGTCATTGGCATCACCTTAGGCTTTGCCAAACAAAGATTGAACACCTGGATGGCAAGAAGATTTATGGACTTCTGGCAGAATCTTCTGGGATTGGCTCACTCCAAGGTGTTTATTCACCCTTGGAAGCTTGATCCCAAACAGTAGGGATGACCTACAATGTCTAACAGGCCTTCTTACAGGTCACTGTCATTTGATTCATCATATGCAGAGACTTGGACTGTGTGTGTTAAGAAGCTGGGTTTATTTGGACGAGTGTGAATAGGCGTGAGCCACAATAAACCCTTGCGGGTTGCGGTGACGGGTCGAATATACCCACTCATTTTGGACCTAACATAACCTAGCCTAACTTTAAAATGAATTTTACTAATATACATTGAAATTAAGCAATGGCAAAGAATGGTAATTTGAGGCCCCAGTTAAATGAGCAGATCATTTTTCCAACACTCAGCCAGGCTGCACTAAGAGCCCGGATGTTCTTGTGAGCAACATGGAGACCGCGAAATGTTTTACAATGTTGTAATACGTCTGTCCTCTTCGGTTATTTAAGTTATTTAAAATTTTTGTGAAGAATACTGCCTGACAGGGCCGTAGCGAAAAGAAAAACCAGGGGGGGGAATCCAAATTTTCCCAACTCCACCAGCAAAATTTCCCAAATTTCGAAGAAATGAAAGCCGAGGGATTAGTTACTACTATAATATATTAATTTTCTTTTAATTTTTATTATTCAGAATTCCTAATCGAACTACATGAAATTGTGATTTTGTTGATGTTTCATCACACATCAAATTTCAGATATTATTGTCCAATCTCTCGTATACTGAGATTTCGGTGATGATTTTAATGATGTAAAATATGTCTCTATTACAGGTGTCTAGATGAAACTATTTAGAAACCCTCCCAAAAAACTTTTATAAATAACAAATATCTTTCTGTCGAAATTAACTTGCTTGAAGTCTTGGTAACATGACGCTCCATTTACTCTATGTTTTATCTGGGATGTTTACATTTTCTGCATTGAAGTTACAGGACATAGCACTTTTTGGGTTATTTTACAAGATGAAGCACTAATTTTTTTCATAACATTATGACTTCACTAACAGTATGATTTTTTTTACATAGTGAAATCATGACAAGAGCAGATTTGTCTATCATGACAAGAGCAGATTCGACTTTTTCGGTGACACAAAGTAATGTTATGATAGAAATGAGTGTTTCTTGTTGTCGTCCCGAAATTTATAAGTACAGCATGAGGACGATATTCCCTTCATATATTATCGGTCCTAAAGCAAAACCTCGAATGTGCAGATTCCACATTGTGAAAAAGCAAGGTCTGAAGTTTCTAATGGCTTTCAGAAATCAGGTTGCATACTTACCTAATCAAACCCACGACCATCTTCGCTCATTATTGATGTTGTTTCATGACATAATGAGTGAATTCGAATAAATGTGTATAATTACCCATTCAGTTCACATTTGCTGTGTTGCATTTGTACTCTTTGACAAAATTGTATAATATAACGAATATTAATAATTAACAACACCTTTTATTCGCAGTATTTTAGAAAATACTGCGAACAATTTATAATAATACTGAAAAAATTAATGTTGAACAATTTTTGCCTATTTTCATCATTATAATTTCGTCATCTTCTGGTTCGGGTAATTTGTCCTATTCATTCGAAAATGATTTGCTGATTGGATGAAAGAGCAATATCTGCCTCAATTTATCATGTGCAGATGTGGAATTCTGCCATTTGTTAGGTTAGTATCTCTTGTACTGAGTAACCTCTCAATAAAATCATTTATTATTATTATTTTAAATGATTGTAAAAACTATGGTATTTCTTAGGATAATTTTAACACATGATTTGTAAGTATTTAAGCTTTGCTGGGTCTATGTGTATTGGCTTACTGTAGGCTTTGGTATCACAGGTATTGTGGTCTTCCTTTAGTTTTGAGAGTAGCCCCGGTGAATTCCTGGTCAAATTATTTTTCAATAAACACTGAAAATAGATTAGTTTTTCTGTATTCAAGGCAAGAAACTCGTTTCCACAGTATTATTTTTAGCTTGGAATAGAATAATTGAAAAATGAGAAACTTTCAAGTCATTTTCTTCACCACAAACGGAAATGGGTTGTTTCTAGTCATCCTGATGATCTGAGCCCATTTTTCTGGCGAGTAAACCAGCAAATGTTTTGATTTTTTATCTATTTTAGAGTGTATATTATCGCACTCCCAGGCTTAAAAAATTTGTACCAGTTTTTTTCTAAAGTAGGATGGGTTTGTATTAAATACAAGCACCTAACTGCAAATATACTGTTTTCATTTTGTCCGCCGCAGGAGTCTGATATGATGTATACTGTTTTTTTTATTTGGCATGTTGCCATTTCAGTGGCTCCCCTTCTTTCTTTAATCTCATCCCACAGGAAGCATGTTCCTTCTTGACTGTTCAAATCATAAACAGTAAGTGTACACTGTCAACCTTTGGGAAGTAGAAAATTTGTCCAGTTGATGTTTTGGGAGTATTTAGGACAGCTTCAAGATCGAAATCGATCCAAAGGACATATTCGTCCTCTTTGGCAAATTGTTTGCCATGGTTATGTGACACATTCGTGATTTGGAATAGTAACATTTGAGTGGATTCTGCTACGGCAAAAATCACAAATGTGGCACATTCGTGATTTGGTATTGTTTACTAGATTAAAAAGTGAAAGCACCCAAAGGCTGGCTTTCGACCATAATATGTCAGATGCCAATTTTGCTGAAGTGCCCATCAGTAGGTTGAGGACCGCTCTGGGGTGGAAGGAAGGGATTCTATGTTCTCCACACAAAAACCGTGTAGGGAAGATTCTATCCCAAGGCACTCAACCCGGGAGGGGGCATGGGGGTTGGTATCTGTATCTGTAGAGTAGGGAAGGTGAGTGTAGACCCACAGCACTTAGGCCACATGTGACCCATTGTACATCATTCCGAGTAATATCCTCCTAGGTCATCGTCCATTCTGCCTTTTCCAGGAAGGTGGACAGGTCACTAGGAGACATCCCCTTTATATCGGCAGGTGAAGGCCAAGACTCGTCGAACACACACTTTCTTTGGCAACCTTGAGGTGTCTCACGGCGGCCTTCGTGAAGGTTTTGGAAGGTACAGCTACATTACTGTCGTTGCGCGGCTTCGTCAACCTTCTTGGAGTTCCCTCCGTGGAGGTGCTCAAGTAAGGGCGTTTTCACGCAGGGGCAGCCGGTTCCTTGCCTTTACTCAAGACGGAGCTCTTGGCGCCCGCCACAGGAAGTGCTCTTACTGTTGGAGGTGGAGTGGGGGAGGAGGAGGGTGCACTTATAGTTGCTGCCACTTCTGCCTCTATCGCCCTCTTTCTCCTTTTGGCCTCGGCGCTGCAAATGCGCCAGGCCTTTGTATTATATCACGAGGTGATCTGCCATGTCCAGCCTCATTCCGAGCGGTAAATTGAGGTGGACATTTCTGTTCATCTCCAGCCACCGCCATAGATTGAGATGAGCATTTCTGTCCAGCCTCGGGATTGTTTTTTTTTGTCTGTTTTTGTATTTGTTTCATTCATTTGTGTTCCCACGAGTAGCAGGGGAAGAGTTGGTCATTGGCTGATTACAATGCGGTTTCGCCCGGTTCCCCAAAGGGATCGTTCTTAACCGCATATCACCCTGCGCCTGCGGCCATTCAGCTGTCGGCACGATTCCTTACACCTTAGCTTGGGTAGGCTGGTCCACGGTGGCATGTTTCGCAGACTTTTCTGCCACTGACGAGGAGTCCGGCTACCCTGTCCGTAAGGTCACATTGGCTTCCCGGACAGAGCTCCCAGTCCCCTGGCTGTTCCCCTATCGGCCACCTGGGGACACGCCCCCGTGGGATGGCAGTTGGTATTGTAACATTTGAAAATAAATCACATTAGCGGTTTTTTTAGTTACGGAAATGACCTATAGCGATTTATTTTTCACATTCGTGTTTTTTTCATAGGAAACTTGACACAAAACTAAATTTAACCATGCACACAAGTGAAACTAGTTTTTTTTTTACATTTGTGGTTTTGCCTTAGGACCGACGACATCACATTATATAGTGTTCATATGAAAAAGGGTTTTTTCTTCCAGTTTGTATCTGAAAGAAACCTATGTATAAGCACTTCATATCTTTAAGAAAAGTTTTTATTGTAGTTATTTTTTCCTCTTTACTTTGGAAGTTTCCGACATTTTTGTTTTATGATGAAGAAGAAGAAGAAAGACAAAAATCTTTTTCCCAAAAAATATTTTTTGTCTTTATGTAGACATTGTTTGTAGTACTAATTATTGTAGTGTATGGCAAAATCATGTCTTGTCTGTTGTACAGGATAATTTTCATTATTCTGATTCAAAAGGGGGTTTACCTGTGTATGTTTTGAATAAATAACAAGTTGGCAAAATCACATTTTCGTGTCTATTATTTTTCAAATGGCGACCATTTTTTGACGGGCACTCAAAAAAAAAAAATTTTTGTTGAGGCTGTGAAGCATATCGTGTTAAGTCAACCAAACAGGTTTATTTGAGCTGACTTAATTTTCAATTGTCTCACTCTTTCATTATCGAATTTTGTTTCAGAGGAGATGCTTGAACTTTGTGGCCAAATCAAGGCGCCAACTTCCCACAGTAAGAGATGTGTTTAGGTTATATTCCTCTATGACAAGAGGAACTACGATAAGAGATCTGTGTATTCGATATAATACACAAAATTTGAGAATCAATGAACGAAAATTGGTTCAGTTTGGAGTGCTAGAGAAACTAATACGACGGGTTCACAAATATCCAGTGATACTAAGTGATCAGCCTGACTTGCAGAAAAGCCTTAGTGGATTGTTGAGTTTAGATGAACTTTGTTGTTCAATTGGAGTTACGTCGCAGCAGTTAGAAGATCAATTGGAAATTGATCACAATGTTGTGCTGTTGTACAAATAAATAATGAAGCCATTCTTGATGAAGAAAAGAGAAATTAAACCACTTTTATTTGTAAGTAAAGTTACTGCAGTTTCGTCCTATACGGACATTTTCAAACTTATGGTATAAGTTTGAAAATGTCCTTATAGGATGAAACTGCAGTAACGTTAGTTACAAATATAAGTGGTAAAAAACATAGAAAGTTTCATTTCTCTTCTCTTCATTATGATTTCCTACCAAGTAGTAACGGCTACATCCATCAATTTAAAACCATTCTTATATGATATTGTTACATTTGTATATAAAATAATTATTAAACTGTAAGTATTCAAGTTTAATTAATTTTCAGTTATGATTAATATTTTCATTATACATTATATATACATTATATATACTGTTGCGATGTTCAAGCATCTGTCTTTCATACGCCTAAGATAACTGATCATTCAATGCTATCTGTCAGTTGTTTCAAATCTAATATAAATATTCCTGAAACAAATCTGATTGTTAGAAATATTACTTCTGAGACATATTCAAACATAAATATTGAACTAATTGATCAAACATGGCTATTGAATTCAATCGATGTTAACGAAATATTGAATGAAATATTCGATAAAACTGAAATAACTATAGATAATCTTGCACCTGAACACACTATCTCAAAAAAAAAATAATACGTTACCTTACTATGATTTGGAATTGAAAAATAAAGCTAAGGAACGAAACACAATATATAAAACATTTAAAAATAATTACAGCTCACCTCAGCGTGAACAATTCTGGGAAAACTATAAAATTGTTAGAAATCAGTATGTTAATATGTTAAAAAAGAAAAGGATACTTTTTTATGAACAACAAATTGACGCAAATCGTTATAATCCAAGACAGATGTGGAAACATCTTAAATCGATAATAAATCCGGTTAACAATAGTAAAATGAATAAAATCATCTTTCGTGAAAACAATTCAATAACAATTAGTAAAAATGAACATAAGATAGCTGAGAATTTCAATAATTACTTTGTTGATAGTATTTCACATATCTCTAAGAGTATCCCTCAATCTGATGAATAGTCATCCACAAATTATTCAGTTATAAACAGTTCTTTTTCCAAATTTAAACTATTAACGATGACTCATTTATACTTCCATTGATCACATGTTAAATATACTACAATGGCTGTCGATTTCAAATCAGTTATTCTTTTTAACAATGGTTTTTATATTTAAAATAACCAAAAGTCTCCAACCAACATATCTTAATGAATTTTTGGTTTTCAATAATCAAATACATGAACATGAGACAAGATCTTATAATAATTTTCATATATATAGAACTCACACTGGTGACGGAACTAAAAACTTATCCTACAAAGGACTACGGGAATTTAACAATTTACCAAATGCCATTGAAGAGGAAAATACTGTAAGAGGGTTTAAAAGTAAATTATTTGAATACCTAGAGTGTTAGTTAGTTGGAAAATATGTATATTATATGTATGTTACTATATCAATATTGGTTTTCAACATTGGGTCTTATAAATTGTATATTTTTCATTATTATCTTTTTATTTAGTTTATCTTCATTATTGTTATTATCTATATACGGATTTGAATTTTATTAATATTTTTGGCAATGTGGAAATTTAAATTGTTGATTAGTTATTATGTCTTGTAAGATTAGGATGTATCCTATAATAAAGATTACTACAAAGATTACTACAAAAATGGTAACTCTTATCCCTTAGCTTGCTCTGCAAAATATTTTAATTTATATGACACTCTCGACTGTGTATTCATTCTTTTTCATATAATTATTGCAGACTCAAACTATCAATATAGAATTCCACGCTCTACTTTAATCTGTTACATAAATTTACTTGAGGAAAGGGTCTTTGTTTCAGATGCTTTTCAAAATGTTCTTAAATATTTATAATACTTAACCTTGTAGTGCTAGAAATAGTATTTCTTTTCTTTCCGATCATCCACTGGCTGCTGCTTCAATTTGTTGATGTTATGTGGCTCATGAATACTGGCTGTTCAAAGCCAGAGGCTTCATGATTTTTCCTTAAGTTATCCTCATTGCTGTAAAATGCTCAAAAGTGTCTGATTGGGTGTTTATATATTCGATTTCACCTCTTCTTTAACTTAATCTCTTCCATGACCTATCTGTTGAAGTTTCAAAACTCGTTTGCAATTTCTACCGTGCTGCTGAATGTATTATAACGAAGCATTTTTTAAGCTTGAGTGATTGATAGCAAAGCAAGACGACAACCATCTTAGTTTCCAACAGGTTGGAGCCTGGCTCCCTTACCCTTACAGCTGGCGTTTGTCAGAAAGACAAGAGAAGTCCTTAGACAATCAGTGCCGCCCTTCTCGGCACCCCTGGCTGGGGTGAGATGGATGAAAAATTGTTCATCTGTTAACGGGGGACATGAGGGCCTCACTGGACAGAGTGTCGGGGCCTTCTATATCGTAAGGGTTCGTCTACAGTATAATCTATAGCTTCCCTAACTAACGGATTATCGTGAGTTTCCGCACAATCGAAAACTTGCCGATTCCTCGACTGAATGGACTGCTGAATGGAAGGCAGCTGTAAATCTCTGCGGAAGGCTTCGTTCCGCACGAACCACGGAGCATTCACAATCATCCGTATTGACTTATTTTATAGTCTCTCCAGGATGGATATATTACTCTGAGCCGCTTGTCCCCAGACCACTGAAGCATACATGATGACAGGCTTGAACATCGTATTATAGATGGTAATTTTGTTCTTCAAACTCATTTTGGATCTTATATTGATCAGAGGGTACAGATTTCTGATCCAACCCTCGATTCTTGTTTTGAAAGATTAATTGTGCCGAGGTACTTTACCCGCGCTTGCCAATTGATCTCCCAGATACCCTCACTTTCCTAGCCGGAGAAGATATCGTTCTTCCCAAGGTTATCGCCCGAGTCTTTTTCGGGTTCACTCGGATCTTCCATTCGAGGTACCAGCGCTCGAGGTCGTCCAATGCATGTCTCATGTAGACGATCTCGAGTTCCTGACCCATGGAAGATGAGAGGAGAGGCGTATCATCGGCGTAGAGGGATAACTTCACACGCTCGGACCTCTGGAGGTCGCTGGTGTAGAGCGAGTATAACGTGAGAGAGAGCACAGTTCCCTGTGGCACTCCAGCGAGGATCTCCCTGTTGTCAGACAGGGGGCCCTCGACGCTAACCTGAAATGTTCTGTTTTTCAGGAAAGACACAATCCATCGGATCAGGGCCCGAGGCATGTCGAATGCTTCTAATTTGTGAAGAAGAGCTTCGACCAAACGAAGCCGAAAGATCCAGAATTATATTATTTTTTAATTTTACAGGTTTCTAACAAGCATCTACTTTTGAAGCTTTCAAGGACTCAATTTTCTGGCATTGCCAAGAACTTGAAGCCGCTATATAGAGTAGTTGCTCAACATTATAATGCAGAATTATAAAAAATTTGGAACAATGAATTAATAAATATTATATTTAAGCTTATTCAGTATCATTTGGCTCTTCTTAAATCTTCATTGAGTTCAAAACTTCAACTTTTGCCATTATTCCCACATAGTATAAGCAAGCACATGGACTTTAGGATTATGACAAAGTACGTTATGATACTTTGCGTTATAATGTTTTACGTTGTGATGGAGTACGTTATGACGGGTTACGGTTTCTACCGATTATGAATATGATCGATTAATATTATGATGCATTGTGTTTATGATGCGTTAGCATTATGACGGAGTACGTTATGAAAAAGTACGTTATGGTGAAGTATATTATAATGGATTAAGTTATGAAATTGTATTACGATTACGATTTCTATCTAGTACATTATGATGCATTAGGTGTTCCCGTTAGTTGTTTAAGGTGAATTAGCCAGTAGTCGGACAGTTTAGTCATCACTAAATTACAAAATTGACTGAAAAATACAGTTGAAGAGGAATTGTACTACGACTTCCTCTAGGCAATATATCAAGAATTTGTCTTCCAAGTATAATGAAGACACTAATTTATTTCATCATCATACGATTTTTCAGAAATTGAAGAACAAAAAAGTACATTTTTGCTAGAAGTCGGACAGCGTATGCCAGTAGTCGACCAAGCAATAGCTAGTGGTCGGACAGTTTATGATTGGTTGATTTTGTCCAGGCCCGCATTCAATTGAGTTTGTATGATATTGATGTGTATTCATTATGAGCAGGATATGTGATAATGCTTTATTAAATAGAACACAGCCATTTCATTTTTGGTTATTTATAATCAAATGATTTCAACAGTGAGATGCTATGATTTGAAATAAATTATAGTCAAAAATTAATTTAATTCATATGAAAATATGTAGATCTGAATCCAAAAACATGATAATTTAAAGCCAATCATTCAGCGTTGGTTATAAACAAAAATATAAACTATTAAAAAAATCAAGAATTACTAAATGAAAATGGTTAAATAATGATATACAACTAATCAGAATCAGTACAAAAATCACAGTTGAAATCTAACTTGGAGATATCACTATAGGGAAGCCAAGGGGCTTCCCTATAGTGATATCTCCAAGTTAACGGAACTTCATACACCCTATACCGTACACAAATCACAGCCTACCTTTTTTAGTTTTCACATTCGGTATCACTCTCCAGTTATTCTTGACAAATACCACATTTTTGTTTCAGTCTTTTATTTTCAGTCAGTACTTCACAAGGTACTTCAGCATTTTCAATTTCATTCTGTGTGTCTGTATCATTTATGCTTTTCTCTGTTTCTTTTTTGGAGGCTGTTTTTTGACTTTGTATTTCTATTATTGGTCTTTTTCATACCTACTTTTTCCTTCTTTTTTTGCATTTTCTTTATCTTCATTTTCTATTTGTTTATTTTCGTAATACCTTCTCCAAGCATTGGAGGATATTGCTGAAGGTGTCTTCTCCCTTTTTCGTTTTTTAAGAAGCGGTTGCTGATATGTTCGATGTTTTTTAAATGAGTCATAGGTATTTTCTTCAACACCTCGCCGGAATTCTCAGATGCTCTTTGTATTTCCTGTTTTTCTGAACTGGGTACATTACTGGATTGTATTATTTGATCAGAGTTCTTACTTTCCGTGTTTTCCTCACTCACAAATTTTTTAGTATTTTTTGATTTGAGATTATTTTCTTCCATATTTCGTATAACTTCATTAGAATAGGCACTCATCCGTTTTTGAAAATTCTTCACAAATTTCGTCACTTTCTAACCAGTTCGCATCCAAAACCAGTTTATTCATGACTTCTGTTATATTTTCTTCAAATTCTTCTTGCTCCGTATCTTCTCTATTCAAAACAGGGTTTTCCTCGAATTGTATTTTATCATCTTCATTTAAAATGGAATTTTCATTAGATTTTCGTTTTGGATCTGAATTCAGAAGTCAATTATCTAAAATCATTATTTTGGGTTTTTCTAGTTCTTTTTCATCGACAAGTACTATATCCATATTGTTTATTTCCCGTTCAGTAAATAATGAGACCTCATTATCTTGACTAATTGATGGCAAAAGCGATTGTATCATTGATGCAATCGAGTCTGTACATATTCCACGTTCAGAGAGCTTAGGCCTCAACTTGAAAATAACTTTTTTAGCGCTCTATAACTATATAACTCTAGCGCTCTATAACTTCAAATTCTTAGTTGCAAAGAACTATTTACTATGACCTATTGTGGTCAGTTCAATTATAAGGTGTTATAGAATACCTTTTGAAATGAACATCATTTCCCACGCACAGGCTTGACCTTCTGTGGGTTCCTATATTTATTTACCAAATGTCTTTATATTATACATTTGTACATTCTATTTTAGTAAATAAATATTATTATTATTATTATTATTACTCAAATATTTTACAGTTTACATTATTTGTACTGATTTGTTCATTATCAAAATCAGAGGTTATGTGACATAAAAATACTTATTTCAAGTCTGGACAAGCAGTCCTGAAAGGGGTCAAAAAACCACAGCATCTCGATTCAAGTAGCAAAAATAATGATTTTTCAATTAATTATTAGGTTGTTTCAAAAGTTTTGTCGGTTTTTACGAGTCTAATTTGAACTGTAATAAGCCGAAATGGGTCATTACGGTGAAATCTGGGAAAAAATTAAGATCAATGTATAGAGTACATACCACAATCTTCTCTAGAATAAATATTCATTGAGATATGGAGCTACAAAAACACATGACGTTAAAACACCTTCACAATAGAGAAGGAAGTCAACAACGAATTACCATGCTACCGACATTAAGTAGAAAACATCTATAAACTGAAAACCCACTTACACAGGGTAGTATCTGAATCACAAATCCAACCTCTTCAATCTACCAAAAGAGGAATCATCAAAACTAGTGGATCATGTTTGCGGGCTCTGTAATACGAAGGAAGATGTCGAGAAGGAACTATATAGGCATCAACTTCAACGGAATGGTTACTCCAAAGTGATGGTGGAACAGACTGTATAGAAGACAGCAAGATACTCGCAAGGAAAAGAAGCCGTTACACCAGTGCTTGTCCTTCCCTACATTGGAGGATTGTCGGAAAGGATAAGAAGAATTGAGTCCAAGTACAACATCAGATTCTGCTTCAGATCTGGAAACACCATCCGTAGCAGCCTCGCGAAAACCAGGCCACCAAACGTGGACTGCGATTGCGGATACCCTGTGAGTGCGGCAAATCCTATATCGGTGAAACTAAAAGGCCATTGAAAGTCCGCATTGCCGAGCACAAGAGAAACATACAGCGAGGACAAACCAGCAAATCGGGAATAGCAGATATTATTTGGACACATCAACATAACACCAAGTGGTCCCAATCAGATATCATACACAGGAAGAAACACTGGTTTAAAAGGAAGTTCAAGGAAGCTGCATATATGTTGTCCAACGACACATTCAGCCACATTCCAGGGAAAAAGGAATGGGTGAAACAGGGTTGAATGACCTAAAAATAGTCATCTCTCGGAGGAATAGTCCAGTCATTACCCGAAGACTATTGTGAATACTAACAATCAGAACGTCGTGAAGTTTGTTTTTCTACTTCGTTGTCATTTTGGTCTCGTATAATTGAGTGTTGAACTTTCTTAGGTAAGTCGTTAAATCTCTGATTTTCCATTATATATTTGACGTTCTCATTTTCATATGTTATGCATATTTTTGTAATTACTCATGTAATAATTAAAAAAAGTATATATAGTCAATTCCAGTATGATGTGTATACATTAGCCTGTTTTCATTTTTATTAACTTTTTTATATTTATATGCTTCACAGACTTTTGTTTGAAGGTGATTGACAATGTTTCGTGATGAATTTCACTAGTTCGGACTTCCATTGTCTACTATATAAAATGATTTGAAATCCCTGAAACAAGTAAAAAAGAATAGTTAAAAAAGAATAGTTGAAAAAATGATAGTGAAATAACCTACAAGTAAAAAAATATAATAATTGAATAAATAAAAATTAAAGGAATGCAAAAAGAAAATAATAAAAATAAAAAATGTAGAGATTCCAAGTCACGTTAGTTCACGACGTTTCGATTGTTGGTATCTACAATCGTCTTTGGGTGATGACTAATTAATTATTCTTTTTTACTTGTTTCAGGGATTTCAAATCATTTTATATAGTAGACAATGGAAGTCCGAACTAGTGAAATTCTTCACAGACTTTGTTGATGATAATTGTAATTCTTTAGTCAACAAATACTTTCGATTGATCGATTGAATGTGTTATGTCACAGTTATACTTTTATTATTACTCAATAATCCTTTGTTCTCAACTTTGACATCTTAGGGTTGTCGTTCGAAAGAGGTCGATACCTACGCAGTTAACGGAAAATCAGATTTCGAATTGAATAGATCTATTCCGACTTACCTAAATATTATTATTGACTAAAAAACAGAGCGTTTCGTTGAAAGTCAGTTCTGGCTTTGCAACAACATACTTTTCAATAAAAATCAGAATTTTTAAAAATCGTTTATTCTGTCTATTTGATGAGTAGGCAAACATGTATTTTTGAATTATATTCGTGGATCCTGTACTCATGTGCATATAAAACAAAATATTATACTGACGTCTGTTTTTCTTTCCATGAATTGGCGATGTACTTTTGAATTGAACTCAAATAAATACTTTTTTCTTTCTATTTTACAAATTATCGAATTCTATGGTTTCACGGTCACATTTGTGGAAATTGTTTGTAAATTTTCCCGTATCCATGTCGCACACTTATTCAGATTATACAAATAATCTTTTTCTTTCATAATGTCACCTAAAAACTAAATTGTTAAAAATTATTCGAAAATTCAATTTGAATGACTTACCTTCCTTACAATTTGTTGTATAGTTTAGTGTTTCATTTTTTCTGTAGTGTGTCTCATCAAACCTCTTCCGCATGAACTTCTATAAAATATATATGCTTTATATATTTAAATATCAATATTTATTACGCTACACTAAATAGATGGAATAATGAGAGGCTCACCAGAAGCATTTCAGTTTCAACTGCATATTGATGACAACTCAAGTTTTCTTTAAGGTGATCATAAAATGGAAAAAATAGTAGCCACTTTCCGATGGCTTTTAAGTTTACGTTCTGCATTAGTTGAAATAAAACATCGCAGGAAATCATGTTGAACCGATATGAGTAATAAGCGTCTTCGATGAGAGTTTCTGAGACTGCTTCATCAAATTCCTGAAAAATACCATTAGTTAACATTGTATTTCCCAGACAACACTGAATATCTAGAGCTGTCCAATCCAGGTAGGAGTATACCTGGATTTGAAATGGATGTCTGTGAGATATCCTGCAGTGGACTTGTAACGTGTATCCTTTGGTGGATATCCTATGGACATCCATAAGATAGGTAGCAAAAAAAATGGAATGGTTTTGTTGCAAAATATGATGGGTCAAAGGGCGTCGCCAGCTTATGACTAAGGGGGGCGGCAATGGGGCGGTATTATGGAGGTACAGCCTGGTACAGTCGAAAGCATGAAGCGTTACATTTTGGAAGTCTTTGCTCGATGACGATTGTAATAAGAACAGTTCTGATATCAATGTATAAAACTTCACAAGCCCTCGACAGCACAATAACTAAATCAAACTTTTAAACACAGTAATAATTATTTACTTTAACAAAAATAATATTAAATCAAAACATAACCTGCAGAGATTTTTTTGCAAAACTTTCAACCACTTTATCATTAAAATTATTTAGGTTTTTATTTATTATAGCTCTGTGTACACTCATCATGGCCAGATTATTAAGGCGATCTTCTGCCATGGTACTTCTTAGCCATGTTTTCAGTCTTTTGAGGCTGCTAAAGGATCGCTCTACTGTACAGGTCGTGCATGGTAAAGCGATCAAAATTTTCAATGCTTTTTCCGTTTCGAGAAAGAAAGGATTTGTTTCTTTTAGGACATCAACAACTGTAAGATTTGTTAGATTAAGCCTATCGTGCCACAATTGCTGCCAAAGTTTGATACCATGCTTTATGTTCGATAAATCATAAAACTGGGCAATAGATTCACAAGCTTGTTTCAGATTTTCAGTTGTCATCTTTTGCATCTGCGTCGGGTGTAACTTGGATAATACGAATGATGGCGAATTTTCTTCAGCAAAACGTACTTCAAGGGAGGTGATAATTGAATCCAAGTAATTGAATCCAGTATTCTGAAGGGCTTTCTGCTGGTTGATTGCTTCTATGACGTTGTTTCCCCGTAATACGCGGCATTGATGTAATGTCCTCCTCCAGTCCGACTTTCTCCGCAACCGCAGAAGCTTCCTTTATAATTTCGTCTGTCACTTTTTACGGATTTTCACGGTGGTTTTTAATTAAAAGTAAAATCGTTTCAACGTGTTCCGAGGCTTTGACCACGTCCAAAGCTACAGATTGGAGTACGTTGACAATGGGTTCCATCAAAGCCGAGTATTTGGCTACCAACATAATCCCGAGAATGAAAGAAATTCTGGAAGTAGCCGCATGCAGTTGTAAGGCATTTTTCCGAGTTGCACTATTTCCTTCCTGAGATAATGTTTGTAAGGCTTCCAGAATTATTGGAAGACTTTCTTTAAAAACTCTGATGGTTTTGTTCCCGAAAAAAGTTTATAGTATCTTTGGTTCCCATGGCATTTCTAATTTCAGGAAGTAGAGAATTCGGGAAAGTCTGGAATTTACGAAGTTAAATGTAAAGACTGCGATGCAAAATAGTATGGACAGACAAAAAGATCTATTAAATTAAGATATAAAGAACACTTAGCACACCTAAAATAATAAAGACCAGAAAAATCAGTAGTCGCCCATCATATTTTGCAACAAAACCACTCCATAGACTTCAGTTTATTAAGATTAGTTAGACAAATAGTAGATTAGTTGGATAAGTAAACATAATAATAATAACGATGGTTAGTATACTATATAGTTTGTTTGAAATAATTATCAGATTCACCTGACTGTTAACATAATGACACATTGTAAAATTAATTTAAGACTAGTAGATAAGGCAATATTGAGAAATTATTGTAAGACACTTAAGATGCAGGTACCTATGGTATAAATAAGGATAACGTTGTACGTATTTTTAGTTTAATCTTCTTCATGAAGATGATCACTTAGTGATCGAAACACGTGTCGAGGTGTTAAAATAACGGGTTGGCGTTGGTATAAAACACCATTGATATCAGTTAATAAACTTGTTTATAATTAATTTATGTTTTGATAACTTGCTGTTTTTAATTTTCGAGTTTTGTAAATTGTTTAGATTTCATGAGCTATTGAATAAAGAGTCGGCCAATATTTTTCACATTTATCTTGTGTGTGTTGGAATTATTATTGTGAATACTAACCTGAAAATTTGCAGCTAATTTCTCCCACATGTTCTTCTCCAAAACTGTTTTGTACATTCCTACGCCTTTAGGGTTGAATATTATCCATTTGGCCCCAGTTTCTTCAATGACCACTGAAAATATCAACATTCAATGATTAGTTGGACATTATTAATGCTTATCGCCACTTTTAGAAATACCTTCATATTTTGTTCTCATTATACTCTTCAATTTCATAATTTAAGCATCTAAAAGTACATGGAATGAACTAAAAACAAACACTCTTTAGGATTAGTCATCACAGCATTCGTTTTAAACCCGAATAAAGTTTGGGAAGTAAAAGAACAGAAATATTCGAGATTTCATTCTGAAATAAAATCATAAACTGACATATAGTGTATATGAAGTCAATCCAAACAGCTGAATAAAAGAGTAATGATCGGGTCTGATAAATTTACTAGTTAATCTATCTACTTATACTGATATAAAAGTTTGTGAGGATGGATGTATGTATGTTTGTGGCTCTTTCACGCCTAAACGACTGAAACGTTTTAGATGAAACTTAACATAAATACAGCTTATTCATCAGAATAACATACAGGCTACAATTCACAAAGGTTTTGTGTAATTTTGGTCATAATATACCTTAACGATAAGTATAAAGTACGTCGGAAAAATTCTGGCTCCCTGAGGCTAGGACCGCACTGCAGGAAGGTTGGTAGGATGGTGGATGGTAGATAGCTGCTTGGCGAACATCCTGTTATTTATAAACGTAAGTAACAGAACGACGGTAGGCGCAGTGGCCCCCCACTACCATGTAGGCTCCAGAAACCATCCGAAGGTACGCCAGGCGTCTATCCAACCTAATCAGCCGTGTTTGATATTCCAGCTAGGTAGCCTAACTATGGAGGAAAGCGTAATAAGGTATGTATACAAAACAAGGGCAATTTGGGACCCAGCAGACCCATTAAGGATGCATTGCCCCTCCACCATCCACCTTTACCATCCACCCTCCAAGCGACCATCTAGCATCCTGCAGTGCGGCCCCGGGATGAGAGCTATCTTGGCGTGTTCTGCCTATATCGTTGGAGTTACATGCAGGTAATGTACCGTAAGATTGTTAATCTCAAATAGTTTTGAATAAGTGTCCGCGATAGCATATATTTACCTCGTATGTGATAGCCACTATATGCAAAATACTGAACCATGAATACAATTAAATTTGATACTTTTAATACAATGCACATTTTAGAATATCTGTCAAATTCTTATAAAAATTGATACAATTGTTGTTTTAAGTATATAATATAGATAAACTTTGTCTTTTACACTAAGTAATTTGGACGAATCGTTTGAAAGTTATCACGATAAGATTAAATTGACGTAATGCAGTAAGCCATTACGTGTCGCGTCTACTGTAAGACGAATTGGGATGATGAAAATGAACAGGTTACTCGAGTTCCTTGGACTCGAGAGAAACATATTGCTCCTCTTTTACAATTGAACATTACTCAAAAAAGTTCAAGGAACTCATCCCTATCATCTAGAAAAATGGATGGAAACCAAGTCAAAAGAAGATTTATTCAGTGTTATATTATGGAATAGGTTGGACAAAGCATCCGAAACAAGCACGCCAGAACTGCAACACTCTTATCGCTAGAGAGGTTCCAGTTCCACCTTTCATCAGAAAAACACATGAAAAATTGTCTATAGTAGTAGATACCTACAATCGATAGTTGGGTGGTGATAGGAAAATAAACAATTGCGAACCCTTACCATTATATTTTTGTTCGTCTTAATCTCAATAAATCTCGTCTATATCTCAATAAATATGTATTCTACGGTCATGGTATATACCGATCGATAGAGAATTTTGTACTCTATACATTGATGCTGTTCATTTTTCTTAAATTATAATTTTGTGCATATTTTCTGCTCATAATAATGTTAAGCGATTTTTGAACAATTTATCTCTACGAATTCAAATTGAACCGAAGCGCTGCCGAAACAGCCCGATAAATTACCAGGCATTTGGCAATGATAGTGTTAATGAACGCACTGTCCGACGAAATTTCGTTTTGGAGATTTAAGCTTAGAAGATGAGCTCCGTAGTGATCGACCTATAGTAATCCAGAACGAGGATTTGAGGACCCTGGTGGGGACTGACCCATCTCAAATGGTGCGTAAAATGACGGAAGAACTCGTCGTCAGCTCCCATGCGGATTTTGATGATTTGAAACGTATTGGAAAGGTCAAGAAGCTCGGAAAGTAGGTGCCCTTTTTTTGATCGGAACGTCAGGTGTGATAAAAACTGGATCTTCTGCGACAACAGGAGACGTTCAGGACAGTGGTTGGATCCGGAGAGCTAGTGAGACACTTCCTAAAGGCGAAAACTCACTAAAAAAAGGTCAAGGTGACAGTAAGGTGAATTAAGCGTCGAAGCGTCAAAAAAGAAAATGGTGGTCAGTGGCTGGTGTGATTCACTATAACTTTCTGCAAACGAAATGAGTTCTGCCTGACCCACCATACTTCCCAGACCTCTCGCCAACCGACTACCATATTTTCATGCACTTCGATAATATTCTCACCGGTAAAACCTTCGCCAATGAGGACCAGGCAAAAACGGCCTTAGTCGACTTCATCTAATTCCGAGTAAACAATTTTTATGCTGACTGAATTAATCGACTTGTGTTACGTTAGCGAGAGTACACTGATTAATATGGAGCTGATTTCGATTGAATTGAATAAGTATTCACCGAGATATTGCAGTTCGCAGTAGACTCATAAAAATGGACAAAACTTTTGAAACAAACTAATATTAGTTGAATGATCAGTAAAATCACTTATTATTAAAAAATTGTTTTTCAGAAATAAAATCTGTGGGCATTTTAAAATTAGGTAACAGGGATTGTCCATCGGCCTCTGAAATTTCAATAGGAACATGATAATGAATAGATACTCTTTTTTCGCTCACCCTTTCGACTTAGCGGAGTCTATTGTTTTACAGACACCCTGTTTCAAAACGTAGGTACCATTTTCCAGAGTAGTTACTATTATAATCGGAAATTTGCTTTGATAAAGATAAGACTCCATGAAGGATCTTACATTCACTTCTGGACTCATTTCCTCCACTACTGATATAAAGTTATTTGTAGTTGCTGTTCCAAAGGCATGCTTTTTAAGGAATTTTTGGATTGATAACCTGAATTTTTCCTCTCCAATTACATTTTCTAACATTAGAAGTAGGAATGCTCCCTGAAAATGAATAGGTAGTAGAGTAACTAAACTATTGAACATCAGCGATTTTACCTTGTCATATATGACACCATTAAACTTATCTGATATATCTTTGTCGCTTGCCAAATAGGAAACAATGGGTGCAGTAGGAAAATTGATCTCAATTTCGAAAAAATCATCTACTTGAAAACTCTTCATTTCTTCCACCTGAAACCAAACTGAATAAAGAATATACGTGGATTGGTGTTCTGAAAAATAATTATTTTGTTTTATCTCTATCAAAATAGTCAGGCTACATGAGTAATTACTCACCTGCGTCTGATTTTCATCCTGTGCCAAAAGTTTATAACTCATATACGTAGCAAAACCTTCTTGTAGCCATAAATCATTCCACCAGTCATTAGTAACTAAAAATGAACGTTTCGTTAGACAAAATAATAATAGTAAACAGTAATTGAAATTGCTATAAGAAAGTCGAGTAATTATGCCACTGTACCCAAAAACCATATAAGTGGCTGTTCAAAAAATAAGGTGGATGTTCAAATTTCGCGGCGATTTTTTTATGTTGGTACACTTGTTTTGAACATATATTCACAGTTTCAGTTGTTTAGCATGTTTAGTTTGTTGGTGAGAGGCATGAAAGTTAGAAGTGTTTTGTATGTTCGGCGATTTTCTGCTATCGATAACAATGCTGAATTTTGACCTAAAAATCTCAAGAATTGTGGAATGACATCATCAAGGGCGATCAAGATTTGTTTAAAAGGGTCATAACTGGTGACGAAACATGGGTATATGGTTATGTCATCGGAACCAAAGTACAATCGTTCCAATGGAAGAGTCCAGGGGAGACAAGACCAAAAAAAGCAAGAGTTCGATCAAATGTCAAGGTTTTGCTCACTGTTTTCTTCGATTATCATGGCGTAGTGCATCAGAAGTTCTTGCCACATGGTCGTACGGTCACTAAAGAGTATTATCTTGAAGTTATATGCGAGAAGCATCACGAAGAAAACGTCCTGTATTATGGAAAAACAATTCATGGATTTTGCATCACGATAATGCACGTGTTCACTCATCATTGTTTGTTCGTATTTTTTTAGTCAAAAACAATACCGTAATCATACTTCAGCCACCGTATTCACCAAATTTGCCCCCTGCAACTTTTTCCTGTTCCCATGACTGAAGAGACCCATGAAAGGCCGGCGTGTTGTGATGATTGAGGAGATGAAAATAGAATCGCTGAGAGATCTCAAGGACATACCAAAATACTCACAATTTATAAATACTGAAATTTTGGTTGTATATTTATAGTTATCGATAATGCAATAAATGGTTGAGATAATTGGTTAGCTTTCAAATTAATATTAGCTTATTTTGAAAAGTTAAATTGCCATCTGAATTCATTCGAAAGGATTGTTAGTTATTCAAGTTACATCTTGAATAATCGACATTATTGAAACCTAATATTTTGATAATTCTTCTATATTCACCTACCAAAGTTTCCAAACCAAAAATGACTCAGTTCATGATAAATCACAAGTTTTATTTGTGATTTACTATAAACGTTCAATGTTGTAGTAAGCAGACCTTCTCTGAATGTTATTAGGCCCCAGTTTTCTGTAGCTGCACTCTCTGTTCTATTATATTCGATCATATCTGAAAAAAGAATAATATAAATAAAGAAAAAAAAGGTTTATGGCATCATATCGTACTCTATTTCCAATCGACCATATTTAAATTAAACTACTCTACTTCAACCGAACGGGCTTGAAGAATATGTGAACGAGAGTATCCAGAGGAAAAACTGGAACATCTCCCAGTGACCTTGAGATCGAATGGATACAGTGTAGCCGAGATCAACAAAACCATGAATATGAAGAATTCCACGGTTCAAAACAGGGAGAAGTCTTAGATGGTTGCACAACACAACATTAAAAACGGTTTTCAAACACACCAAGGAGATACAACAGAGCCTCAGGACGGCTAAAGATAAGAGAGACCCAGTATCAGCACCAGGGGTATATCGCATACGTGCACTTGTGTAAAGATATACATCGGAACCCGAAATTTTTTGGGTTGAAGGGTTTTACACTGAAATTAAAACATACTGGTAGACTTTCTAAAGTTTCTGTTGGGAATGTAAATAAAAATTTAAATTGAGTTTTCTAAACACTGTTACGCCTCTGTGTGATTGTCTGTTTCTGGTTGTCAAGGGATACTTATCTACCCTCGGGAACCAATAGCGTGGGTCTTGTTTTACCTCTCGTTGAAGAGTACCCTCGTTCACGCAGTATGGTTTTAGCATAACGAAAGAAAGGTCTATTAGGTGTATTTGTAAGAAGTGTTAGTTTATTGTGGAGGATATCAGAGGTTCTTATTTGTATAAGCTTAGTGATAGTGTTTCTCACATCAAATTAAACTGACAGAATAAAGTGTGTTACTTGATTACCTACTTCGCATAATAACATACAGTCCACTGGAAGGGGCCAGCAAGCCCAAAAACCAAAATTGGGACCCAACAGCTTCTTTGAAACAGTTCCGTTACTGTTTCAGAAAAGTTCGATCAGTTGAGATTTCATCATTTTGAAACTCCGATAATTTCACAGGAAATCTAGATATAACAATAGACACTGGACAAGGACATACATGATAATTGGTTAGTTTGGGGATGCTCTAGTTAAGGGAGGGACGTTAGGGGATATTGGATAATCGCCATCAACAAGATGGACTCCGGTGATCCATCTTATGTCTATTTGTGCCGACAATGGTGGATTATTATAATACAGATTCAGTGTTCGGAACCGGAAGTTTGAAACAAAACCATAGATGACGTGTCGTCATAAGGGGAGATGTCACCGCCTTTTCAGACTCAGTGAGGAAGATAATATAGATAAATGTACACGAAGAACGCGATTTAGATACTATTCCATATGAATTTTTCAGTCTACAGGTTTTTCTCACTTGTTATCGGTCCTCTTCACCGTTACATCTAAAAACTCCAAGTCATTGTGGACTTCTTCTTTGGCAACCTCTCTTTGGCAGCCTCTCTTCTTGTGTGAGGAATTTCTCCCTCAGTTGAAATTCTCAGTTCCACACACAGCATTCTAGTAATTTCATGATTTCTCCTATTAATTGAATAGAACCGGCCAATACTTGATGAAAATCCATATTAAAAAACTAATTGATACAGTTTATTGTATGATTTTCACTATAACGATTTATAGTGAAAATTTCTCCTATCGGTAACCTCACTCTATCTTCCGGGTCTTCGTTCTTTCCTGGCTTTTTCTGAATGATTTAGCTTTTCCGACAGGAACGTTGGTGTTATAGACTTTCCACATCAAAACTCTTTGATAGAAGAGTGATTTCACTCGCTTTCAACTTTTTTTTTTCCAAATAGAAAGGAAGTTTTGAGATCCTCCACTCGAACGGTATTTCAAATATCTATAGAAAAACTTTTACTATTGATTTGAATTACTGGGTGCAGAGTTATTGGTGTATGAATTAGAGACTAGTAGAAACGATTTGTAACCAGCAGGAATATTAGGAATTCGAATTGTTGGCCGGATATAGCTAAAGGAATATCTGACTGGAGATCTATATTTGGAAATTCTTAAAATCTCATTTACCCATACTTTCAAGAAATTGTGGCCTATAGTCAAGATGAATTCGAAAATCCAATTGTTCTTCAACCCCACATTTTTTAGCCCTATAAGGGATTGGTTGGATCAGGAATGTAGATTGGTACACACGGCCTATTCACTGGATTTGACTACATCAAATCGAACGTTTTGATATGAATTTTCATCAAGTATCGGCTAGTTCCATTCAATTCTTGACAAGGAACCAGGTCAAATTGGGAAAGATCTTCAGCGGTATGGTTACTCCAAAAAGATGGCGGAACAGAGAGAGATAGAGGTCGTCACAGTCTGTGCAATCCCTTTTTTACGTCAGAGAAGTATCGGAGGGTTAGGAAGAATTGGATTCGAGTACCTGGTGTAATCACTCAGAACCCTTTTCATGTAAAATCTTTTGTCAAAAACTCTCGACCTGCCACATTCTTGGTAGATAAATAATGAGAAGATCCAACGAACTTCGGCATTTCAGTTACAAAGGTACAACTTAAGTGACGCAGCACTTGTTGGCATATCTATTTTCAATGTTGATCACATTTTGGAATTAATTGATATAAGGTGAAAGATTTGTTTGTATTATAGTCCATAAATTGAAGATCTGAACACAATACGTAAGATAGATTTCGATTTTGGCACCATCACCATGTGTACAAAGTTCAAGAGAAAGTTCAAAGAAGCTAAATACATGTTGACCAAGGACGCATTCAGCCAGGCTAGTGGCTACTTAGATTTCTGTTAAGATCACGAAAAACATTTTTCATTGTCTCCTCACTGCAAATACGCAACGCATATGAACTCAGTCTCAGTCTCTTTTGTGAGGGTCAAGCGTGGTATTTTTGACAGACACCTGAGTGACGGATCCATTGGAGAGACGACTTGAATACGATTTTCAGCTCTACGAATGGTGGGCAAAAAACATGAAAGCTAACAGACAAAAACACCTTTCGGTTGTGGTGCAGGTGTTTTCAGTCGCAGACCCAGGACAGAGATACCAACCTGCCTAGGAACCTATGCGACTAGGACTCTCCCAGGATTGGCTCACTCCAAGGCGTTTATTTACCCTTCGAAGATTGTCGGAAGATAGTATGTGTCGCCTCTGTTTGGAAAATGATGAAATAGCAGAGCAATACTTTGTGCTCAGGTTTTTAGAGTTCGGCAGAGCCGTACTCTTACCATCCGATCTGATAGACCACTCACCATACAAACTAATCGGTTTCGTTAAGAAGCTGGGTTTATTTGGTCGAGTATTAATAGCTGTGAGCCACAATAAACCCTTGCGGGTTGCGGTAGAGGTTCGAACAGACCCACCCTCTTTGGACCTAACCTAACCTAATAGGCAGATTGAGGTGTTATTTTCAGTAAAGTGAAGTTCAATCAATTAAAAAAAAATGATATTCTTTGTAGTGAGTTGAGTTGTATAGTGAGTTCCTTGACGGTGAAAATTTGTCTTTCGAAGGGAGTAAAATATCATGCTAATCGAAAAATAAAATTGATTTATAATAATGGACTTACCTAATTTTGGTAAAGGATAACTAATATTAGTATATTCAGAATAAAATGTTATTGCCCTTTTTGTACAATTAGCGGCAAATGAATTATTTTCTTCATTAGCATTTCTAGTATAGATTCTTACTGGAACATTCCGGTCATTTTCCTTAATTATCTTATAGACTTTTCACAAAATTTCTCTTTTGTGTTATAAAGATTATTCATTATAAATGAAAATAGTTGAGTTACAAAGAACAATATATTACGTGGGCCAGGTCGACCTTCAACAATTACTACAAATCAAATGCGATGTTTTTAAAACACTTAATAGAGGAGTATTGAAACGTGATTTCGTAACCTGCAGCGCTGTCAGTCATAGCCGGTAAGAAAATCAACAAACTTTGTCAAAACCATTTTTCGAGCTTGTAGGCTAAGTTTGAGCCCGTAATTGAGGTAAAAAAATGATGGTTTTAATCCATCTATTTGGTTTTGATTTTGATTATTTCACCATGTAGTGGCTGTTATCGTTGTGACATATTTTTTTATACCTGCCTCTGGTTTCGTTCAATGTGGGTATGCGTTTTAGACCTTTCAGTCTTAATAATGTTTCGCTTACGTTCAAGTAATAAATTCAATTCAATTCTACTTACGATTTCAGGCATATTTGAAATAGCTTTGTATGTTTTGTTTGGTGATATTAACCGTATATTGAATTTGGCTTTGAAACTAGGTTCATCAAAACACGGGAACACTTTTCTTGCATGTGTAGGTTCCAATTCAGTAACATATAAATACCTGAAAAAAGCTTTTTGGGTAAATATGTTTTGTGTGAGGTTAATGTTTGGTGTAATTTCTGGTATCTACCGGTACACCTTTGTTCATGTTGTAATGTATTAGTAATTATACACTTTTCCTTAGGAAATGAAGTATGAATAATCTAAACTGATTTTTCACTTGATTGAAATTTGCGATATGTTGCACCAACTTTTTTTTAGGAAAAATGTTGAAAGATTCAAAGAAGCTGAAAACATAAATACAGTTTGCATTGTTCAAAAAGAAGACCAAAAAGTTGCAATTTTCAGAACTATAGACGGCTGTAACTCTGGAAATGAGGGAGAGCATCGATTTTCTTTTTCGGTTTCGTAATCTACACGTCAAAATACGTATGTACACTCAATTTTTTTCAAATTGAATGATGCAGACTATCCAGAATTTCATCATAACTGGAACATTGTTTTTCAGCAGTTCGGACTTTCATTGTCTATACTCTATACCAAAGAAGAAACTCACCTCAGCTTCTTGTGCAGAGCTAGAGACAATAACATCATACCCAAAGGTTTTTTTTTGCTAAAATCGCCAATCCCAGGAGAGAGAGCCAAACGTATATTGGAACGCGCCAGCCAATCACTGATAAGGTCTCAAATTAATTACCAACGTTGGAAGAGGTCAACTCTGAGTCAGGATGCCACAGAACGATTTGAAGAAATAAGAGGATCATGGACCAATATTTGCCAAGATTGAAAGCACGTGCTTGAAGATCCGACAAGACACGGAGAATACCCATAATAGGAAGTGGGGAAAGTTGGTGAGGAAACAATGCCCTAATGCAGACTGAAAACAGGACAACTATGAAGTCGCCAACGTTATCAACATGAATTCCCGCCCGCTCACTGACATAGAGGAATCCTCATCACCATCACCATCAAGATCTTACCTGCAGATAAGGTAAACGCTACTGTTGTGATAGATACTGATCTCTACGAACAGAAGAGGTGTTCCAGAAAGGAAAACACACAAAGATCTTAAGGGACCCTACTGCATCAATTAAAAGGAAGTTGTACCAGATGTTGAAAAAACACCAAGTCTATTTTTCGGAAAAAGAGAGATCATCATTAACACCGCACAGTAAGACCCCTCATTTGTATGGACTACCCAAAATCCACAAGAAGGATGTTTCGCTCAGACCGATCATTAGCTCCAGAGAATTAGCCACTCTGAACTTTTACTATCAATAATTAAACCACTTCAAGGAAAAACATCATCTTTTGTGAAAATAATAGGGGCAAAGTCGAAGAGCAAAATCAACTGATCAGTTTCGACATGAAGAGCCTCTACATCAACGTCCCTGTCGAAGAAGCACTTCAAATCAGACAGAGGGAGCTATCTGAAGATGGGGACCTGAAAGATATAACAAACTTACCGATACAAGTAATCACGTCTATGAAGAACAGTATTTTGGGGTTGCAGTCACGAATTATGGAAAATAATGTCATGAAAATCAACAGATAAATAAATAAGTACCATTCTGATCATTTCCATATTGATTTCAATTCAAGAGCCACCGGTAGACAGCTGTTTCAGCCTATTGGGCATCGTCAGTACCGGGCAGGCGGTCCTCGATTGAAGACAAAATGAGAAAAAACCAAGAAAGTACTTGATAAAAATAGCTGCGTAAACGCAAGCGAAACATA